AAAAACAAACAGGACATTTAATCACAGGAAATTTTATTCGCTTATTGGAAGTGATTTTAAGGCTCTTTTCAATGCAAACAATGTTTGGAAACAAATCGGAAATTCTGTATTGTTTTTGCGTAACTAAATACAGAAGTAATACTTGATGTTAAAAGCAGATATATTTTTATAAAAAATTTTGTATTAATATTTATGTAATATAGTGAGTGTTCCGGTGCTACCATAGTCTTACTGATGGCTTGTTTAATGAATTCAAATGAATTTGAATTGAAGTTTTCGGCTCCGCGGCTGTCATCCAATGAAAGGGCTGTTAGTTTTTGTTTTTCAGACTCAAACTGTGCGGACACGACTCCCAAGCGAAAGGCACTACACTCTTGTTGCTAAGGCATAGCGATTCTCAATACGAAATACCCATTCATATTGTCTACAGTATTATGAATATATGCTTTCCATTTGGAAACTCCACACTTATATTCCTATCCTATCTGTTAATCGCAAACAAAACTCGCGATTATATCTCGACTTTAGTTCACATTTTATGCCAAAACATTAATTCTGTCGCAGAATTTAATTATTAATTTCAAAACAACACTGTTTTCCATTATTTGTCATTAAATATTGTTTAACTCGGCAAAACTTTTGACAAATTATTTGCTATTTAAAGAGTTCATATGCTACTATTATTAATTTAGAAAATTTTATATACAATATCTTTCCATTTATTTAATAAATTTTCTCTCATATATAACTTATAGTATTTTAACAGTAATACAAATGTTATTTTGTTTTTTGTACAAATAGCTAAGCACACAATTTATAATTTTTTTAATTATTTTACAGAAATCAAGGCAACCGGAAATATTACTTAAATTTAATATCATCTACTTAATGTTATTCCGATATGATTTTTAATGCATTTTTATGAAAATATTTTAAAAATTATGTAATTATAATGCATTAGCCTGACAACAAATATAGCTATTTATATTCAATGAATTATAATAATATGCCATATTTTTCTCATTAAGTCTAATAATAAAATTCTGTTGAGAATTATTGCTCAGAAAGTGCACAGAATTTGCGGACAAAACGTGTTTGCGATACGATTTTAAAGTCTCTGTGCAGAATCAGAACCAGAATAAACTGGTTTCTCTGCCATAAGTAGTAATGCTATCGACAAATGCAAAGAATATATAAAATACTGTACATTGCATTCAATGCGAGGCAATGAACACCAAACATACAAATCAAATTAATACACATTTCACTATTTATATGCGTTTATAATACATTTAATATATTGTATTACTAATACTGTATTATAATAATAATAATTTGTGCGGAATTTGACAGAATAATAAACTCAATGAAAGACATATATAATCCGCAACTTAGCGATTCTTAGCGAAAACATAATAAATAATTAACTTTTCAAACACAACCTTAATATTCAAGAGTAATGAAGAATGATATGACTTTTAGGTTAATAATTAAATAAGAAAATCCTTTGCATTTAATGTGGTATTGACTTTCATATCACAAATATTGTCGCCTATTATTCTGTTATTTTCTGTACACCAGAGCCAATGCTGTCAAACCAATACAACACTTATTAGTTATTCAATCAATACATATACCATTTGCCACTATTAATGACATTGTATTCCCATTTAAATTGGGTTAATATAACTCAGCAGTGATTTTACAAAAAAAAAAATAAAATAAAACATTTGCATAAATCAAACAATACACCGGTTCAATTTTATTATCAATAAACAAAATTTGATACAAAAAATGATAAAACATTTCTTATTCAATAAAAGGTCACAAATAGAGGCAAATGTTGGCTTAAAGTGAGGATCTTTTGGTCACTTTTATGACACTTTTCTGACCACCAATTGATTCATTAGACGACTGATTGGCATTCAATTGAAGCAATTGTGTGTTTAATGTCGTGTTTTGTGTCTCCAATTGTGCGTTAACAAACGGTTTGTTTACGTTTTGAGAAAGTAACGGTAGCGTAACAGAGGAGTTATCCAGAAGTAAACAAACCAAGTATACTTATTTGCAGACTTTGCGGCTATTGAAGGGTTAGTTACGCTTCAATGTCTCGAAACGCTTCGCCAATGGCTTGAAATCGCTTTTATGGATGTCTTTATGTCGCCAATCAATGGCTTTGGCTTCAGTGGACATACGTTTGCATTCATTAAGCAATTGCTGACAATTGGTGTCAAACGCATCGCTTTGTCCGCAAAACTCACTCAATATCTCAGTCTTGCGCTCCAGAAGTGACAACTTGTCCATCAATTCACGGCTCACTTCACGCAACCTTTCATCCACGGAGTCCGCTGGCGATGACATCACTTCACACCAGTCTTGTGGTCGCTTTCGCACACTCTTTGATTGTCTCTAAACTTCTGGTAATCGCTAAACAATTTGTGTCCAAACGAGTCATGCAAACGACTCGTGAAGTCTAACAGTGTTTGCAATTCAAACAAAAATCACTGCTTTTTATACACGACTTTCATAACCAAACAAATTGTCTATAAATTCATGATTTTCTTACTTTTTTCATCACTTTATGCTTATTATTAATTGTCATTTGTTTTCGGGGGAAATTACAAGTTTATTAAGTAAAATTCACGTTAAATATTAAGTCTAATTTAATTTACTATTGTATAAGGCATGAGTTGTGAGTAATCACCGTGTCTTAACGTAAGTGCTATAAGACATGTCATAAAACATGTAAAGTTTTCCCATTGAAAGTGAGTGAATATATTAGGCTAAAGTTGTACATTGGGCGACAAAAGTGTATAAAACTTTCCCTACATATCAGTCAAGCTTACAATGATATCAATGAGAAATTAACAAAGAGATTGAACTATAAAAGCAGTTTTAATTAAACCATTAATTATGAAGTGACTGTCAGATTGAGTATTAAATACTGTATGAAAAAAGTTGATTCATTTGATGTGTGTCTGTGCCGACAGTGCCTACAGTACCTACACCTACAGTGCCTAAC